GGGCCTCTGCCTGCTGCAGCGCGGGGCGGGCGGGGGCGGGGGGCGCTTACCGTGAGCGGAGCGGATCGGCCTGACTGGGGCCCTGAGGAGGAGGAGAAAGAGGAGGAGGAAAAGGAGGAGCACGAAAAACTACACAGCGGCGACGGCGGCGGCTCCCATTGCGGAGCAGCAGCTGAGCCGTGGGAAGGGGGGGGGGGTTCTCGTGGAGCCGGCGCGCTGCCTCATGGGTAGGCTCCGGGTCAGCCTCCGCGCGTCCGGGCTCCCTTTCTTCTCGCCGACGCGGGAGGCGGGCGCGGGCATGTGCGTCGCGTCACAGGCCTTCGAAGGCCGCGGCGCCCCGCCACGCGCAGGCTGCTGGCCAGGGCCCGGGCCTGGCGAGGCTGTGGGTGGCCACCTGCTTGCGGGCCCGCCCGGGGCGGCGAGCCCGAGGTCGGGGCTGCACCTCAGCCGAAGGCGTGGGAACGTGAGTTCCGGGTCCTCCCTGTGTGTAACAGCCAGTGCTCCGCACGCTTGGAAAGTAAGAAGGTCCAGGAAGAGAGGCGCCATTACAAAGAAATGCTGTGCCTGTGAGGGGCGAAGACATAAGCCAGAGGAGAAGCAGAGTCGGTTTCTTTTAATAATTGGCTAATTTTCCCATATTTGTTTCAAACATACGATGTCGCTTGTGTCTCCTTTAATTCCTAACTCTGCCATATGGATCCCTGTAATAACTTTTAAAAAAAATGTTAAATGCATTTTCGAGAACACTTAGCAAGATACTGCTTGTGTAAATAACTTGCTACACCTTATATTCTGATCTGTAAGGGAAGTTTCCTCTCCCAGTTGTCCTCACAACATCAGTCAGTCTTGCTTCCTTAGATCCTTAACACACACACCAATCGTTGCACAAACCCATCACTGAATTGAACTAATTCTTCCTATGTGAATTAGTTCCTTCTTTCTCATCCAGACAGCCCCCAGCTTTTCTATGGTGTTTAGCATTACAGTCACTTCCTTATTGGTTTACCACCCCCAGATCGATCTTACCAAAAGACCACTTAAATTATCCCTAGACCTGGAATGGCTATAGGTAACCATGACCTACTCCCTCCCAACGTGCCAGAGATAATCTATCCAGGTTTCTCTTTCTTGCTGGCCCTGCAAGTAAGCTTTACAGGAAAAGAGAATAATCAAAATAACAAACTGGAAATCTAGAAGTTCAAAAATCTTGCCGTATTCTTAAGTCATTATAGTTCAAATATAGTTCTAATGGTTTGCAAGGCATGTTATGGTAATGAAAATGAACTGAAGATTCACTCTGTGTTCTATAGTTTGGTCCCAGGTGTAGAGACAAACATCATGTTGTTAGACCCTAGAGCTAATTTAAATCGAGGGGATGATTCATGCCAACCAAACTTACTAGAGACTGATGTACAAACCAAAATTCAAATTTATTCCTTTTTTTTTTTCTTTCTTTCATGAAAAGCATATCTGCCCCGAAGACCAGAAAACTCGGGTTGACACATTTTCACTCAAAGGAAACACTTACATGAGAAGCCAAATTATAAAAGATTTCCAATGAGTATGAAATCAACACACATGAAGTAATTTAGATGACTTTTTTGATGACTCCATCCTTAAAACTCCTCCCATGGCTTATAGAATATAACTCTCTTGGCTCTCTTGACTTCCTATCCACACTTTCCTATTTTAAGAGTTTCTCTTCCTCTGACTTGTCAATTTTCTGCCCCTTAACATTCTGTACCTACTCTTTAAGTATCCTCACACTACTTATTCTCCTTAAGTGAGGTCATGCTCCACACCCTTCCCTGACTGTAATGGATATAGGTGATTGCCCAGCTTCCATTTCACAGCTTCATTGTGTTCACCTATGTAATTTGGGTAGAATAACCACTACCCACCCCCAATTCCAAGAGTCCAGCCAGCCTAAAACTATTAGAATTACCCTTACCTCCCTTTGAACCAGTTTTTGTTTCAGAAACCAATCAGAGTGCAGCCCAGGATTTTTGTTTGACTGTGGGAAAAAGAGAAGTTCTTTCTCTGGATGATATAGCATTGGCATTAGAATGTGAATACTGGAAGAGCTACAACTTTTTTTTACTAAGGAAAGCCAACTGATAATAAAGCTAACAGGTGGAGGAGGAAGGGCTGGGTCAATCAATCATAGGGAAAGGAAGACAATCTCTGAGAGCATCATAAGCCTCCAGTTGAAACCCATTCTAAACCCTGTGCTACCTCTAGACGTCTCTGTTATATGAGTGAATAAATTCCATTTTCTGTTTAAGCTGAAGGGGTCCAGAATAAGCCTCTGTGACATAAAAATTATTTTTAGGCTGAAGGCATCTGAGTTTCTGAAATCTCTGATCTACCTAAAAGCAGAGCCTCCCAAAAGAACTCAATTGTCATAAATCTCCTCCCAGGGAGCAACCAGGGAAGATTGGCTCTTATCACCAGAGACAATGAGAATTGTCACCACACCTAGAGTCATTGTCACCAAACTATCATCTCTCCCATCTATTCTCCTAAGGGCCCATTTATCTTTCCTAAATGTCATTGTTTTCCAATAAGAGCACTCTTTCCCCCACCCCCCACCCCCCTTCCAAGAAGTCATTTGTTTTCATATAAGTGCCCTCTCCCCTCCCCTTCACCTATTAAAATGGTATTTAAGCCCCAAATTCTAACCACTCCTTTGAGTCACATTTCTTGGTAAACTCCTTTACCTTGTATGTGATTAAAATCTGTCTTTTCTCTTGCTAACCTGTCCTTTTGTCAGTTTAATTCACAAGCCCCCAAAAAGTAAATCTAAGAGGGTAGAGAAAAGTTCTCCTCCCTGACAAAGCCAATTTGAGTTGGGTTTTCTGTTTATTTACAAGTGAAAGCATCCTAACTGTGGTGGAGACAATGATAAATACTCACCATGGTACTTTCCTCTTGCATACCCAGGAAACCCACATTTCCTAGTTCCTTTACTTCTGTATCAGGCCATGGGACTGTATTTGGCCAGTGCAAGGTAGGCGGTGATTTCCCAATCTAAGCCTGACCCTTAAAACCTCCAGTGATTTATAGTTCCTTTTTGTTTTTCACATTTCAGTCAGTCGGATATGGAAAATTCTGAGGAGCCAGCGGATGGCAGTAACATCAGATGGAAGGACCACAGGTCTTAATAATTGCACAAGAGCACATCTAATACACTGATCCTCATTGTACTGATTAGAGCAAAACATAAACCTTTACTGAGTTATGACTGAGATTTGAGGGTTGTTTGTCACTAAATCATTAACCCTGATTAATAATAGAAATAGTGGCCTACTGTAACAAAAAATCCAAAATATGTGGCATTAGTTTAGTATAGCAGTCAGGTGGGAATTAAGGAACCGTGTAGTAGGCTGGATAACCAAAGATCCATATTAGGCAGTGGCTAAACTATTGTCTACAATACCTTAGAAGGCAGATCAGTACAAGCACATATTTTCTAGCTCTAAGGGAAGAGTTCTGAAAATATTAATAGTAGATGTTGGTGATTTTTTTATATGATTTGTGAAATACTACCAGAAAGAGATTAGCATGGAACAGAATTAACCAGTTTACAAAAAAAATGAAAGAAAATAGAGAGAATCCAGCATTTGGGCCACCTTGCAGAGTTTGAAAACACAATACTTCTAGATTCCAAAGAGAAAGAGCTATATTTTAAAAGGCTTTGAGCAAGGAAGAGCCTCAGTAGGATTTGAACAGAATGACTCAGCCTTTAGGAAAAGATCAAATTATACATGTTGTTTCAGATAGTATCTATTGTTTCAGATAGCCTCAAAGAAGCAGCTACTACTTTTTCCCCAGGTTTATTGATGTATAACTGACAAAATTGTATATAAAGTATACATGATGATTTGATACACATATCCATTGTGAAATGATTACCACAAAGGTTAGTTACCACATCCATCCCCTCAAATAGTTACAGTCACTTTGTATGTGTGTGGGAGACAGCTTAAAATCTACTCTCTTAGCAAATTTCAAGTATACAATACAGTATTAGGCTATACATTAGATCCCCAGAACATATAATTGAAGAGGCAGCTATTAAATTGAGAGAGAGAATTGATTAAGAAAGTAGAGAAATAAGGCAGCTTTTAGAACCATGTCACCCCGGGGGTGAATATTGTTGGTGCTTCAACCATTACTTTTGGATATCTATCCACCTTTTTTGGGTGCTCCCCTTTGCCACAAGCTCCACTGTGCCTTTACTTCCAACAGCCAGGATCTGCAACTCTTTTACAGGGGACTACCCTTAGGCTATTAGAGCCACTTTGCCTGCCTTCACAGAGACTGAAAGTACCTGGGAACTTATATGCCCATAAGACCAGCTCTTTTTTTTTTTTTTAAAGATTTTATTTATTTATTTGACAGAGAGAGAGACAGCGAGAGAGAACACAAGCAAGGGGAGCGGGAGAGGTAGAAGCAGGCTTCCCGCGGAGCAGGGAGCCCGATGTGGGACTTGATCCCAGGACCCTGGGATCATGACCTGAGCCGAAGGCAGTCGCTTAACCGACTGAGCCACCCAGGCGCCCCGCCCATAAGACCAGCTCTTAACCAAGGACTGATAAATGCAGGAGTGTGGATGCCCTAACTTCCTTGTCCTGGGTGAGAACAACTTTGAGGCATGACTTACACTCCAGAATTCCCCTGTAGGACCAGGCTGAAGTGACCTTCTGTAGTCTTTTGTCTAATGTACCCCTGCTGATGTGCATGTTAAGCTATTCTGCCAGCTCCAAAGCCACCCTTCTTACCTCATCTTTCGGGATACTGGGAGCCGGTATTCTACAGAGCCATTCTGGGCTTTGCCAGCTGTTCCCGGTTACATTTCGCCAATAGAGGGCCCTAGAGGGAGTCTGCAAGGCTGAAGGAGGAAGAAGGGCCTTGCTTTATGTTTCTGTCTTCATGAATCCAACAACAGTGACAACTCGTTCCTGCAGCAAAGGCTGAATCTACTTAACAGTTTTCCCAACACTTGCAGAACTAGTCTCATTGTACCCCCACAGAGATATCAACACCAGCTACCATCACCCCCTCCTCAGTAGTCTGGGTCCCAGCTCTATGGTACCTCTGCTCCAAGCACAGAGACTCCAGCACCAGGTGAGCAGTGCCCCTTTCTCAGAGGTCTGAGTTTCAGCTCCACGGGGTCATTCCCCCAAGCTTCTAAGTGTCTGTTATGGACTGCATATATGTGCCCCCCCAACCCCCCCTGACCCCTGCCCAATTCATGTGTTGAAGCCCTTACCCCCATTGTGCTGGTATCTGGAGACAGGGCCTTTCAGAAGTAACCTTGAGATCTCTCTCTCTCATTCATTCTCTCATTCTCGTTCTTTCTTCTTCTCTTTCTCTCTTTCTCTCTCCCTCTCCCTCCCCTTCTGTCCCTGCTCCCACCCCCCACCACTCCCTCAGGATACAGCAAGAAGGCTCATGTCTACAAGCCAGGAAGCAGGTTCTCCCCAGGCACTGAATCTGCCACAACTTGATCTTGGACTTCCCATCCTCTGGACTGTGGGAAAGAAATGTTTGTTGTTTAAGCCACCCAGTCTATGGTGTTTTTGCTATAGCAGCTCGAACTAAGACACTGTTAGTGATTCAAACCTCTTTGTTCCCTCAGCCCTA